TTATTGTGATATTTTTTTATAGGATTAATTTATGTCAGCTATTACCTACTGTAATTTAAATTGATTGGCAATTATATAAAAAGGCAATATGAGCAAGTCTGATAAAGTATTAACCTCTGAGTATCTGAATTGATATGCTAAATTAACTGGATTATCAATCATTTTGACAGATAAGATTCAGTTTAGCTTATACAAAAAATATAAAAAAAAACTGGACATGAGCCATGGCAATTATCAGAAGGTCATTTTCTCATTAATTCAAAGCCAGAAAATAAAGTATCTGATTTATCTTTTTCTGAGCAATGTAAAGAAAAAGGACCTATCACATTTGAAGCCAAATCTGATTCAGAGTTAATTATCAAATCCATGTTAGAGTATTTCACATACTTGAAATTCTGAAATAGTTTCAGAGAGATTGATAATTATAATTTTGTTTCTGCTCAGTCGTGAAACTCATCATGCTTTATTTGTGATGGAAAATATGGAAATTATGGATTATATGACTCATGGTATTGTAGAAATAGAAATCAGCTTCTATATGATTCTAAATTAATAAAGTTATTATCTCAAGATAAGTTAGAATATTGTCTTAGCTATAACTTTTCAAGCAATAAATTCAAATTCGCAATCGTAGTCATATGATGGCAGATTAATAGCAAAAGATATTATTTCGCAGTATGAACAAAATATGTATTTTTTTAATTATAATCAATAAAGCTAATGCATATTAAGCATAATATATTTACATGTCAATATCTAGTGTAAGATTGTGTTTATATGCTAATATTTCTCAGTTTTTCATCTAAAAACCAGATCCTATAAATGCGTAGTATCATTAGGACATTGCACTATATAATTTATTCTCAAAATTTCCTGCATATACTTAAGCTTTTGCATGTATTAATATTAAAAGTCTTTCTTGTTGATCCAGGAATATGATCCTTATGTCTATTATAATTTTAAGAAGCATCTGTTGATCTGATTTTTGTAATGAATCATAATAACGTAATTTCTCCAAAGATTTATTCTGAAAATTGAATCTTAAATCCATTACAAGTCATATAAAAAGAAGTTGAAATAGTTAGTGAACCCTTTTATCTGCCTTGTGCAAATATAAGCAAAAAATCAAACGAAAAATCTAATAAAATTTTAAACCTACCATTATTAACATCGACAATATCATTAATCAATCAAATGAGTATATTTCGCAAACAATAATAAAATATGTTGATTTTATTGCTCGACTAGCTTCTTAAAATATGTCATCACGATGCTAATCAATTTTCGCTTCTATTAGATGTTTTAAAATAAAACAGATATATTACTTTTCTTGTTATATATTAGCATTTTGATCTTTGCTAAGAAAATCTTTGACAATCATTATGCGTATAATAGGCGCAGTAAAACTATTCACATGAATCTTGTCACATGCCTTAACATCACGCTCCTTAATAAAATTTAGCGCAGTGTGTCTAAATTTTCAATAATAAACATCTTCACGTGCTAAATTCTTAATATTTGACACAGTATTGTACTGGCAATAAAAAAATCAAATTAACTTTATTGTAATACATTAAATAATAAATTTCAGGCAAAAAGGTTGCTAAAATTAATAGTAATGGAAAGTGTAAATCAGAAATATTTTTTTTACCTCAATTGCTAATCTCCCAAATTTATGTCGTAGATTCGAAATTACTTAATTTCAGAGAAGTTTTATTGCAGGGAATATTATTTTATATAATCTGTGTATTTGGGAGAGATATAAATAGAAATATAGGTGGGATAATTTATTTCAAAAATCTAGTGTAAAAAAAGAGTATAGGGATGAGAATCTTATAGTTAGAAATATTAACAATAGAAACAAATTAGCTATAGAAATTTATCTGAAATTTGAGAGAATAAAGAAATAATTTGATGCTAGGACTCACATTAGGAGAAGGTCAGAAATTACGTAATTAGACACTAATATAAGGTCTGATCTCTTTCTTCCTTGTGATCTGATGCTGATATATTGATAATATTTTTTGTTGAAAGAAATTATTTGTTGCATGTGAACTCCTCTTTCTCACTCATTCATCTATAAGATAACGAAAAGGTATGTATTTCTTTTATTTTTTTGCCCTTTGAAGTCGTTATTCATCTTTGTTGACAAATTTATAAAACATTTACTTAGAAAAACGTAACTTTCCTTGGTCCTTATTTTAAAAAAAAATTCTGTGCCATAAAGCAACTTCGTAAATATTTTCCTTGTTAGTTTTTTCTTTTGTTCTAGATATTTATAGATACTAAAAAAAAAAAAAAAATAATGCAAACTTTTTTAATAAGTCCGAAGTTTGAGAAAAAATATTTTTACAAAAATCCAACACATATATATCATGAGTTTTGTAATACATGGGCATATCGGAAAATGATTGAACTTTCAAATCTAACACCATCAAAATAACAACTGTTAGAGCAAGCAAATACTATATGAGCCAAAATAAAATCAAAGGATATAAATGAAATTAAAAATATTATCACAAGTTATCTAGCTACTTCAATTTTGTTAACAAGATATGGATTTCAAATTTTGAATTCCAGAAATTCTAGACCAGTTTACCAAGTTAAACAAAAACCTATAATAATTCACTCTGAGAAAAATCAAACGCCGCCAAATGCAATAGCATAGCAAAATGCTAATTACAAAAGGGAACGTGTTCAAAAAAAATTAGTAAAATATACTACTATACTTGATATTACAACAGAAAATTCTATGCAACAACAACTTGTACATAAAATGAAAATAGAAAAATAAGTAATTATACAGCAAAGTAAATGACTTACTAATTTAAAATGTCATGCAGCAGCATAAGGAAGACTTCAGGAACGAAAGCGACAATTATTAGAAGAAAATATTGTGAAAAAATATGACTCACCTAGTAGACCTTCATATGTTCTTAAAAATCCAGAACTATATGATCAGTTGCATGCATGTATAGAGTTTAGTTCAGCTGATAATTGACAAAGAAAAGAATAGATTAAAGTTCGTACAATTTCACATCTTCGTATAGCTATGAAAGAAAATTACAATCAATATATGTCAAAGTCTAGTCTTCAAACATATTTTTTACCATGTCATCCAAATTCTATTTAAGTAAAATGACATCATCATCCAGCTCTTATTAGAAATGTTGCAGTATAGAAATGAAATGAATTCGCATGAAGATGGTCATTATTGTTTAGCATCTGTAAAAAGTGCTAGACAATTTGCAGAAACTTTCTCTGAATATTCAATTATTATATCACAAGATGATAAAGCTAAAGTACCTTTAGGAATTCCAGCAGTAGGTCATACTTTTTAAACAGTTCAATCACAAAATCAATCAGTATCTATTTCTAATCATGATTTTCCAGTATCTTCAAAACACAAATTAATTCCTTCGGTATATCTTGTAATTTATCCAACTGATACAAATGAATCAATGAGATCAGGAAAATTAGCAGTTTTTGTAAGACCAGAATTATGGATATCAATATTAGCTTCAAGTTATATGTTTAATTTATAAAAAATTCAACAACTTCAAAGTTTTCAATCATCTTTTTAGATAATAATAAAATGCATCGTCCAATTTTAGTTCTTTTAGTAGATGGAGAACCTGATGAAAATCTGCGTTATTTAAAAAATATAAAACAATATTGTAAATATTTTTGTGATGTAAATTTAGATTATATAACAATTCGTACAAATGCATTAGAACAATCAGCATATAATCCTATAGAACGAAGTATGGCTTCTTTATCTGGAAAACTTGCTGGAATTACACTTCCTCATGATAAATATAGTAATCATTTACGAAATGGAAAAATAATTGATAATAATTTAGCATTTTAGAATTTTGCTTATTCTGAAAAAATTTTATGTGAGTTATGGAAAAGAATAATATTAATGGTCATCCTATATATACTGAATATATTTCAGAGAATATTATAACAGAAACATTAATTTCATGGTTTTGGATAGAAACTCATACTCAAATTTGTCATTACTCTCTTGATATTCGTAAATGTAATAATTTACAATGTTGTAAACCAAAACGTTGTGAAACAGCAGCTATATTATTAGAACAAATAATGGTTTTCTTCCATCTGTTTCTAAAGGTCGGAATAATCATTTTTTGAATTCAATTTATATTCTTGAATATTTTAATATATTAAAAATTCCTAAATATGATCAGCATTGTCCTTCTATACCTTCTGAGTTGTATCAACAATTATGTTGCAATTTATATGGTAAATATTTTCCAACTTTATCTTTATAACTAAACACAAAAAAGCAATTCATACACAATATCGTAGACTTAATACAAAATATATTCAAAATTCATGTACTTATGAAGATATTTCAAATCATGTTCCTTTTAAAAAAATTGTTTTAGATTTTTGAAATGTGTTATCTGATTTTGAATAATATAATTTTATAATAAATAAATAAAATTTTATAAAATTTTACTTGAATAATTAAATAATATATAAAATTACTATATATAGAAGGTGATCAATAAACATATCCCCCCCTCCCTTTTCTAATCACGTGATTTCTGGCCCTCCCCTTAAATGGCCTAGGAAAAAAATTGCGTATCCATTTCGAGGTAAGCGTGCTCCCATTTTATGTACCAGTCAAGCGTATCCCTACTGGCGTATGGCCCATATCTTCCTGCGTTAGATGTTTGGAGGCAGTCTCCGGGGAAGTACTTGATCAAGGCCTGATCCCTAGATGCTGTTTTCCAGTATACTTTAACTTTATTTAAAAGTTCAATTGTTTGAGTCGAAGGAAAATTATTAAACATTGTTATCTGTTATTATAAAACGTATAATTCGTCGTGTGTGGTGTGCTAAGTTAGCATGATTTTTTTGTCAAATTAATTATTTACTTGAGGGAGTTTAAAGGAAGTTAGATGATGCGATTCGTTAATTATAATAATCAATATAGTTAATATAATTTAATTTTATTCTTTCCTAGAATGTTTAAACCTATCGTAACAAAGTATCTCAGCGAAACGAACTTTGGTCAATCATTTCTATTTTGGAATACAAATCAAAATGTCGATTATATTCAGATTCCATCAATAATCTTAAGAGTGATATATATGCATCGTTACAGAGTTACAAAAAAAATGACAATCATGTATACGTAAATAATAAATTTGACAAGATTATAACTGATTTCGAGAAATTATTCTCTACGGCCGAGGCGAAAGAATTTATCGACAAACTTCGAGAGGAACAGGAAGAACGTAGATTTGATTCAGCTTTCCAGATCAATGTCACATCTTCCTGCACAGTTAAAGCTTTGAAGGTAGCTTTGAAACGATCTTGGGACAAATTTCACAATAGCCTAACTAACAATTCTATTAGGGCTACAACGCGAATCAAACACTTATTGACGAATTAAAAGTAAATGACGAACATAAGGTTGATAAATTTGAGCTTTTTTTGTTCCTCTTATTTCTTCTCCTATAAATGCCCATTGAAAAATTTTATTCACTACATTACTCACAGATGCGAATTCCAAGAATGAAAGAAAACGGCCTGCAGAGGAAATTTCTCATACCATAACTTCTCCAAATCTCCGCCCATCAGTTGAGGAAAAGGAAACCGATGCCCAATTTCTTTTTTCGGTAGGTCCTTGATAACAGCGAAAATTTTTTAGCTAGAAGTTCAAAATGTGAAGATTGGTATAAATTATCCTCGGTTTTCCAACAGGACCAGATTGTAAAAGGGCACCCAGAAGATACAAATTCTCTGGATCAAGCCATTAGAAACGAAGATACTTCATACGAACGTCGTCGACGCTGTTCTACTCCGGAAGATAAGGTATCCATTATGTTTTAAATGTATTGCTCACTAAAAAACGTTTTTTCACTTCTCAGTGCTCTTACAGACCAAAAGCGTCAATTTGGATGAGGTCCCATCTGCAACGACGACAACTTCGTTGGATTCCTCATCCGAATATATTCCTTCGTAGGTTTACTTTGTGTTACTTTTTATAATTTGCAAGTTTGACATTAAATTCTTTTGTATGTATTTTTAGCGATGAATCAGAGGAGGATGATGAACTTGAGTTTATTACAATGGGACATAAAAAAGTAAAAATAATGATATCGTTGAATCTCCGAATTTATATGGCATAAATTAATGTTTTTCTTATATTTTCAAGGCAAGATTGAAATCAAACAAATCAAATGAATTACCATCCTCTCCTTCTCTTCAATTTCCTAGGCAGTCTCCAATTGACAATCAATTACGAAGAAATGACTTCATCACAGGCGAAATCGAGGTATTAATGTTTATTCTATTTTATTTTAATTTTTGGAGGTATAAAGATTTATCTATCATGCTACTAATGCAGTTTATTTCTTTACAGTTGACCGTATTGTTTTAATCGAAATTTCAGTGCACAAATCTGGCTTTAAAGCCGTGGAAGTACGAAGTGCACGGTGGCCATTTTCGTGGAATTCGGCGGTGGAGTACAGTCGCGTCCGAAAGTGACGCCCGATTTTGTACGGTGTTACGATACACCAAATTTACATTATTTATACCTCCTTTTTTTTATTTTTAAATGTTTTTCTCATATTTCATAACCTAATAAACGCATTATAAAGTTAAAAAAATAATGTCACAGAACTGAGTTAACTTCTCAAGATAAGGAGAAAATACTTGCATATATGGAGAATTTTAACCCTGCACAAATAGCAAGAAAAATGGGTCGTGACCCCACCACAATAAGAAGAATTATTGACAGATACAAGAAGACAGGGAAAACTGAAAATTTACCTAGATCAGGGCGTCCACCTGCTCTTGATGATAATGAGAAAAATGCACTTATAAACGAAGTTACACAAGATCGATGCGAACCTTTACATGAAGTTATTAATACACTAGGTTTAAATTGCAGCCTTACAACTGCTAAAAGAGCATTACATGATGTTGGAATTTATTTTCATGTTGCTGCAAAAAAACCTTTTATATCAGAAAAGCATTCATTAGCTCGTATTAGTTGGTGTGAGAAATATAAAGAAAAAACAGCTTATGATTGGGCACAAGTTATTTTCTCAGATGAATCAAGTGTTGAGATTGGCAAGCAATCATGACAATTAAGAGTTTGGAGACACACAGGGGAAAGGTTTAACACTGAATGCTTGACACCTACCTTTAAAAGTGGTCGAAAATCGGTCATGGTTTGGGGATGTTTTGCAGAAGGGATAAAAGGGCCATTAATTTTTTGTGATGAAAATAAAGAAGGAAATGAAAAAATCAATTCAAATACTTACATTAGAATCTTAAATTCATATCTATATCTATTTCAACATACAGTTCATGAGTTAACAGGGAGGGTTGCAATTTTTCAATAGATAATGCACCTATTCATACTGCGAAAATAATCAAGGATTGGTTGAAGAAGAATAAAATTGTGGTTATTGATTGGCCGGCAAATTCTCCCGACCTAAATCCAATAAAAAACATCTGGAAGCAAAGACAATATCCAGAGTTGTAAGGTCTTTTCAAGAATTGTGGATGAACTTAAAGTTGCACTAAGCGTAGAATGGGAAATTTGGATTGCTCCATTTTTGAAGAGGTTGTTGCTTTAATGCCACAAAGAATAAATGCAATACTAGAAGTTAGGGGAGGGTTAACACATTATTAACCATTTTTAGTAATTATTTTTTATGTGAATTTTAATGAAATTCAATAAAGTTTTGCCATTTTTGACATTAATTTTAAATTGGGCATCACTTTCAGATGCTACTGTACATGCATGTGTTTGAGCTAATTGCATATTTTATGGTAAGTATCAATAATATCTATAAGTGATCACAATTGTTGTGACAAAAAATTTACACGTGTATTGTTTGCTTAGAAAAATCTTCACAATCAGGAGAAAGTAATTAATGTGATGGTCAGCGAGCATTGTAGTTTAATTGAGGTTAAGTCTATTACAGTTCGCCAGTGGCTAAAAAGTATACAAAATACATTTAACTCTCGATAATAATTCTACAATACGATACAAATTTAGTATTGTGAAATGAGAATTTATTTACTGCTGCTAGCTATACTTTCCCACTCCCCTCAAAAACGCTATGGGAAAAGTAACTCAAAAAAAATTTAATAACAACCCAAAAGCTCAACGTAATACTCGTAGTCGTCCTGACTCATCCGTCGACGAAAAGTCTCAAGAACCTCCCCAAAAGAAAACTGTAACAGTTCTTAACCGTCCAGGTTCTACTAATACTGACAACACTGAAAACTCAAACGTCGCTTCCGGCTCCCAAAGCACTATGGAAGTGGACCCTCCTCCCCTTGTTACTGAAAACGAAAGTGTCTCAACACCGATCACCTCCAAAACTACCAATACTATGAATGAGGACCAGGCTCATGACCCAACTGAAAACTTAGTTGAAAAAAATATTTCTTCGCCTAATGTACTCTCCTTTGAACGTATCTGCGATGCCTCTTTCTTCTACATTTACTACTCTTACGAAACTTTCCTTTTTGGAAAATCAAATAAGGAAAAAATTAACCATGTTTGTGAGATGTTCAATGGCATTGATTTTCCTTCTTTCATTGGTGCCTCTGTGAAGCAGGACCCCACAAACAAAACGCTCAAAATTGTCCGATTTGATTTTTTCACAAATTTAGATGCCAAAAAAGCGTTTTGTGTTAAATTTCCCAATATGGCAGATCTAAAATTAATGCAACTAGAGCGTCCTACCTTATTTAGATTCAACCCTAATTTAGCGATCAAAGTAACAGAGATTCCCATTTCTACTTCTAAAAGTGTTATCCAATCAACCTTTACCAAATTTGGCAGTATTCTTAGATGTTTCATGATCACCAAAAATCTATGGCAACAAGCGACTATCTCATTTGTAAAAGGAACTAATATGACAATTTTCAAAAAAATCAAAGGTCAATTTATTTTCAAAGACTTAGTCTGTATTCACCCCTGTTTCGCTACGACGGAGAAAATTCAATTTCGTTCAAAATTTACACTCAAACTTACAAATTTGCCTAAAGATACATCCGGACGAAAATTGGAACTCATCGCTAAGGCAGTTAACGCGATGACATAGGTAGTTCCTAAAGCCCGCTCAAACTACCAAAATTTACAATATGCCTTTGTTCACTTTGTAACAGAAGAAGATTTATATGCCACAGTAAATAGCGACCAAATCGTTCTTAACGACAAAAGACTTATTTGAACCTAACCTGATACAAAACTATGTGTTTACTACGCAGCACCAGAACATGATTCTCGTTCATGTAGAAGGAAACGTGTTGCACCACAAGATCGTTAAACCCAAAATCTGTATCAGAGGTTTAAACCAGCCTAGTTCAAAAACTATTCCGCCCTTCCTAAGCCTGTACGACCCACATTCGTCTACGATAAAGAAACTGTGTTTAATCCAAAAAATCCTCAATCATTTGTGAATCGTACTTATCAAAATGTATCACCTTTGAACAAACCTCCTGTCGTTCCAGTTCACTCCAAACCGCTTTTTAACAATAAAAACAACAATAACAAGAATAACATTAACAATAACGAAAATTCATCATCGTTAGATAATTCAATTTATGCTAACAAATCCTGGTCAGAACAGGTTGAGGACAATTATCTTTTCCCAAAGCAACAACGTGATAACTAATCTGCATGAGAACCATTTGATGCCACTAAAATTATGCTCAAATTAGGTACGCTTATAAAAACCCTTACCAAAATACATACAGATCTTACCTTTATAGTCTGTCATTTTGACACTGTTGAACAATACTTAAACATATTCACTCTCACTCCTGAAAAAGTTGCTGAGCTAAATACTGCAAATAAAGGTAAAGGCAAAGCTAATATGGAAACAGATGAAACCCAATATGAAGAGGATGTAGATACCTCTGAATCTAAAATTGTCGAATACGAAGGGAAAATCCAATGGCTTGCTCAAGAAAATGAAGAGCTTCACCTAAACAACAAACAAAATATTGAAAAACTTAACTCTGCGCTCGAAGCTGTTGCCCATATTCAGAAATTCATGTATGGAAAATCAAATGAATCACTTTGTATACCTATTCCATAACTAATCAAACCAGGTGCAATTTGGATTAATGATGATGGTACTGAAACATCCTACCCTGACTTCTTCTTTTAAACTTATTTTAATGATTACAAAAAATAATACAAATATCAAACATACCTTCACATTCTTTAACATTGTATCCCACAATACTCGCTCATTACTTGACTCACATAAACAATAGCTTTTATTTGATATTTACTCTATTAACCATTTAGATATTATTGCATTATAAGAAACTAATTTCACTACACCCTCCCATTGTCAACGGAAGAAATTGCAACTTCAAATATCACGTGGGATATGTCAATCAATAATGATCTCACGTTAGATAATATCATTGCTGTGCCAAACAGTGATCAACAGTAATTTTTGTTTCTTTTATTACATCTGTTCTCTCTGTATTTCCTATATAGTCTGTTTATCCTGTTTATTCTGTTTCATCCATAATTTCTTTAACATCTGTAATTTATTTTATTTCCTTTTATTATTTTTATTATTTTATTATGTTTAAGTATATTTTTATTGGAATATATATCTATATTTAGTTAATTTATAACATAGCAAAGTAGTTAGCCGTAGCAAATTCATTTTGTATAAATAGAATAGCTTTTTGCTTAAGTTGTAAATTAACTCAGTTGTA